ACCTAGATGTGAAAGGAAAGCCATACTATAGGAGATTGTCTTTGTAACATCAGGTGGAGAGGTATTTCTTAAACAAAACCAGCAAGCACTAATTCTAAAGGAAAAGGCTGATAAATTTGAGCATATCCAAATTCAGAAATAGAAATGATATGATAGAAGACATGTTATATATCTAACCCATAAGAGACATACGTTGTGTATTTATAATAAATTCCTACAAACCAGTGGGAAAATGGCAGACAACTCAATAGACAAATGGTCAGAATACTTTGGCAGGTATTTAAAAATAAAGATCCAAATGGTTAATAAACGTGTTTGATTAACATAGCTTGTGGGGTATGAATTGGTACATTACTTTGGACAGCAGCTGGGTGTTATCTGCTAAAACTGAAAACACACAGCCCTGTGGTCCAGCACTTCTTCCCCCAGGAATATTTTGTAGAGACACAAGTGTACATGTGCACCAGGAAATCTAGACAACAATAGTCATACTATTTATATTACTCAAAGATTGTAAATGACCTGCTGTTCATTAACATGGAATGGATAAATGATTGTGGTACATTCATACAATGGAATACAATGCAACCATGAATGAGTAAATGTACATACAATAACGAATTTGAATCCTGCAAGCCTTATGTTAAGTAAAGGAAGCAAGACACAAAAGAATATGTATAGTATGATTCCATTAATTGAACATTCGAAACCAGACAAAGCTAAAGTCTGTTGTTTAGGTTAGGGATGCATAATAGGTGAAATAACTAAAGAAAGCAAGGAAGTACTATAAAAATCAGAATCGTTGTTTCTTCTGACAGGAAGAGGGATAAGATTGAGAAGCGACATGTTCTGGGTAGTGGTTACAGGGGTGTTCAATTTATAATTACTTAAGAGATTGCACATTTATGTTTTCTTTTTTTAAATCACAAACTGTTGTGTTTTATTTATTTTTTTGTGTGTGTGGAATATTGACCCTGAGCTAACATCTGTTGCCAATCTTCCTCTTTTTGCTTGAGGAAGATTGTTGCTGAGCTAACATCTGTGCCAGCCTTCCTCTATTTTGTATGTGGGTCGCCACCACTGCAGGGCTTGACAAGCGGTACGTAGGTCTGCACTTGGGATCCAAACCTGCAAACCCCAGGCTGCTGAAGCAGAGCACGTGTACTGAAGCACTATGCCAACAGATTGGCTTCCTGCACATTTATGTTTTATGCCAAAGAAAATAAATTGCCAAAAACAACAAAGGAGATGAAAAGGTAAAAAGTAACTCATCAAACCTGAGAGAAATTAAAAGAAAAGGCTTTCCTTCCAGTGAGGAAGGATAGCTCTTAGTAAGTGACGAGAAAAGGCTAAGACTTCTAAAGTTTTCATCTTATAGGCTCTTAAAAATTTGAAGTATAATTTATATACAACAAGATGCATAGATCTTAACTGTTCAGTTGGATGAGTTCTGGCTGTTAGACACACCTGCACCTGCCACTCCAGACAAACCGTCCAACATTTCCATCACCCTGGAGAGCTCCCTGCCCTCCCAGTCGATCACCAAGAGGCAGTCACTTTCTGACTTCTGTCGCCCTAGGTTAGTGCTGCCTGTTCTTGAACGTCACCTAAGTGGAATGTACTGTGTGCTCTCTTGTACTCCAAAATAATACATATACTTTTTGATTCACCCATGTTCTATGTATCAATGGTTTGTTCCTTTTTCATTGCTAAATAGCTTTCCATTGTATCAGCGCACTGTAATTCATTCATCCATCTCTTGATGGACATTTGGGTTGTTTCCAGTTTTTGAATATTCATTAGCTTTTAAAATGTGTTGTTTGATTCCTTCTAGGAGGAACATTTCCTTGACATGTTAGATTATTTAAGGAATTGGGCAAAGTATTGACAGAATTATAAGCTTTTATTCTCCAGAACTGAAGAAAACTGACAACATGTTTGATGACAACAAATTTGGAAATAAGATGACACACTTAGAAACACAAGAGACAGCTGGACAAACATGGTAGGAGCTCTCTTAATGAAACAGCTTATGCAGGGCTGTGGCCAAGAGCATGGCCTTTAGTGCCGGACTGTGCTGAGTACACATCCTGGTTCTGCCACTGTCTAGCTGTATAGTTTGGCAAGTTTCTTAACTCCTCTGGGCCTTGTTTGCTCCTCTCTATAATAGGAATAAAGTGCCTGCCCCACAGGAGTGTAAGAATTCAATACAATGATGTTTGTAAAGTGCTTAATTGAGTGCCTTATGCACAGTACGTGCTCCATAAAACAGCCTGTAGTAATATAATCTTACTAGTAATAACAGAATCTTGCTAGTAATAATATAACCATTGGTTGATCTCACCAGCTAACATCTCAGAGAAGGGCCATTTTAGGGCTGGTCTTTGCTGAATTAAACCAGAACTCTTCAAGTGATTGAAGAGTTTGGGAAGGACAAGGACTGTTCCCCCAACTCCTCATTGTTCCATCACTCCCAGCTGCCAAGGCTGAAGGGAGAGGGTCGGCCGTGTTGCTTGGGGCCAGCACACTCCTGGGTTGTGTCTGGGGCACTTGCTTTGCTCCTATCATTCACACTTATCTGGAAAATCACAGAATTGCCCTTTGGGACTCTTATTACATGACTTTGTAACAAAACATCTCATCCCACAAGATAAAACATTAGGAGGATATTTAGTGCTCTTGTGGGACAGTTGTCCTGATGTTATTTTGCTGTTGAAGAGACACAGCATAGAGATGATATACTACAGAAAACAATGTTTAAAAAATCTGTTAAATATCCTCAAGAAGAACATAAAAGTGACCAGAATGAGTAGAAAATAAAACCAAGAGAAAGTGAAATCAGTCATTCTTTTATTTTCCTTTTCTTTTTTGAGGAAGTTTAGCCCTGAGCTAACATCTGCCGCCAATCCTCCTCTTTTTGCTGAGGAAGACTGGTCCTGAGCTCACATCCATGCCCGTCTTCCTCTACTTTATACGTGGGAGGCCTACCACAGCATGTCGTGCCAAGCAGTGCCATGTCCGCACCCGGGATCCGAACCCACAAACCCCGGGCCGCCACTGTAGAATATGTGCACTTAACCGCTGTGCCACTGGGCCGGCCCCTTATTTTCTGTAGTATAGCAGTTAAAAGAATGGGCTGTGGAGCAGGAAAGACAGGCTAGTTATCTATTGCTGCATACCAAATTATCCCAAAACATAGCAGCTTAAAATAAAAAAGTCTCTCATCTCCTGTTTCTGTGGGTCAGGAATCTGGCATGACTTAGCTGGGTGCCTCTGCCGCGGGGTCTCTCGTGATGCTGCCATCAAGGTGTTGGTCGGGGCTGTGGTTTCTCTGAGGGCTCACCTAGGCCAAGATCCCCATTCAGGCTCGCTCACGTGGTTGCTGGCAGATTCAGGTCCTCACCGGCTGTTGGTGGGAGGCCACCCTCAGTTCCTAGCCCCATGGGCCGCTCCATGGGCTAGATCACAACATGGCAGCTGGCTTCCATCCAGGTGAGCAAGTGAGAAAGGGTGTGCACCGGCCTTTTGTCACCTCCTCTCAGACACGGCACCCCGTCACTTTTGCCATATTCTGTTGGTTAGAAGCAAGTCACTAGGTCCAGCCCACAGGGCAGGGGATTCCACCAGGGCATGAATACCAGGAGGTGGGGATCACTGGGGCCGTTTCAAAGGCTGCTTCCTACCATCTGCCCTCTGGCTCGCAGTGATGATTCATGTCTCTCCCCAGTGCAGAATACATCACCCCCTCCCAAGATCCCCAAGCATCTTAGTCCTTACAGCATCAGCATAAGTCCGGAATCCCTTCCTCTAAATCAGGGCCAGAGAGGGATGAGGCTTTTGAGGACAAATCTGTATTATCTATTGCTGCATAAAAATCACCCCCAAATTTGGCAGCTTAAAACAACAAACTTTCTTATCTCACAGGAGGGGAGGGGTCGCTGGGGGCCGGCTTGGACACTGCCTCCCACCACTGTCTAGATTCACGTCCTTGTTCTGCTATGTACTAGCTGTGTGGCCTCGGATTAGTCACTTCCCCTACTGTGCTGCGGTTTTTTTCATCTGTAAAATGGGCCTAATAATTTTACTTACCTAATATGGATAATGTGGTGAGTAAGTGACATCATTTGTAAAGTAATTAGCACAGTTCCTGGCAAATAGTAAATGCTCAATGAATGGTAGGCATTTATAGTTAATGTTATTAGAATTATTTTTATTGTTTTTCTAAAAAAAAAAATACAAAACCTTGACAAGCCTTCTCGGAATGTGGAGAGGGAAGGATAAAGATGGAGGGACAGTGATAGGCCTTGGATGCGAACGTGGGAATCCAACCTGAAGCTAGTAGTGGTTCCTCAAGGAGTCCAAGGAGGTCAGAACAATGGTGAAAGTTTAAAAACTACGAAACACAGAGCTTTTGAACTGCTGCTTCAAGCATTTCACGTGATCCGAGCACTCTTAGAATATTGGGGTACAGTAGGGTTGCAGGGAGATGTGTAGTTTAGATAAGGCCTGGTTGAGTCAGCCTGTGATCAGACCTGTTCGTCGGTGACTGCCCGCTGGTCCAGTTCCGAAGGTCGCCCCGGGGGCCTGTGAACACGTGGTCTTTACAGTTGCGCGCACGGCTCAGGGATTCACGGCCCTGCCTGGACCAGCGTTAGGCTTGAGCAGGATGCCCTTCTATGCTATACTGTGACCAACTCGAGATGGAACAGGTCTCTTTACCTCCTCAGCCCTGTCTCCCCATCTGTACCAGGTGTAAAACAAGGGGGCCGGATTAGAGGAAATCTGAGGGTCCTTTATGCTGTCGGTGTCGGGTTCAAGATCAGGGCTATACTTAGCTTTATGCTTTGCCCCGTGGTGCGTGGATGGACCGGGTCAGTAAATGTGGTTGAGTTGTACCCATGTTGAAGGGGCACTGCAGTTGTGATTGTGGTGTGTTGTCCTCCGTGGCTGGCCTCTACCCCTAACCTGCCTCCTTGCTTCCTCCTTGCCCCTCACGGCAGGCCAAGTGCAGGAACATGGAGCACACGCTGCGGGAGAAAGCCAAGGCCTTCTGTGCCATGCGGCGCTCCTATGAGGCCATCGCCAAGCACAACCAGGTGAGTGAGTGCTCCGGCTGAGTGGGGAGACTAGGGTCCCCCAGGGCAGTCATGGGGAGAAGCGCGGGTGGGCTGGCCCTGGCCGTGGCTGCTGATGCAGGGTTAGCCTTCCCCAGCCTTGATGGTCGAGCACGGCCACGTCCTCAGGTGCTGATTGTGTCTGCACTGCCACGGCCTCTTTAAATACCAGGCATGGCCACGCCAGCAGCCATGAGAGTGGCTTAGAAAGCCACGTGTGCCATCTGCACCATGGATTCGGACTGACTTCAGCACGTGCCGCACTCCATGTCTACCCAGGCACTCAAGCCAGTGATAACCTGGGGCTCTAAGTTATTCCTCTTTCCCTCTCACTCCCTTGGTCCACACCATCAGCAGTCCTGGCCCCTCTGTCTCCAAAATACATGATGTCTGTCCGACACTCCGTTTCCACCGCCACCATCCCCCTCCAGGTCACCCGTGTTTCTCGCCCGGCCTCCTCCCTGGGCCCCAGGCTTCTGCTCTTGTTCTACAATCCCCTCTCTACAGAGTGGACTGATCGTTTAGAAAAATACATTGATTGGGTCACTCCTCTGCTTCAGACTGTCAGTGGCTTCCATCACATTCACAATACAATCCAGAGTTCTCACCGTGGGCTCCAAGGCCCTCATCCCAGCCCTGCGGGCCCCTTGTCTCCGTCTCCTCCCGTGCTTGGCTGCGCTCTCAGCTCCAGCCACACTCGCCCCCTCCGTACTCAGCCGAGCCAAGTCTTCTCCCCAGCTCCTCCCAGGCTCAGCATCTTGTCATTAAAATCTCAGCTCAGATGTCCCTCTTGAGAGTGTTCCCTGATCACCCTACCCAAGTGGCCCTCCGCATTTACTCGCTATTATCTCCATTTAATTTTCTTCGTCACACTTCACTACCTGTAATTAATGTTTTATTTTCTATTTACCTTTGTGTTTCCTTCCATTAGAATATAATGAAAGCAGGGCACACTGGTGTCTAAAAGAATTTGTGGCACACAGTAGGTGACCAATAAATGTTTGTTAATTGAGTGAATGAATTGGGCCCCCATGTTCGCACTCTCACTGCTGTACCTTGGCACCCTCTCTTCATCTGAGTCCTGTGTGGATTGGCAGCCTGGTTTCTGACTGGTCTGTTCCGTCACTTCCTGGGCAAGAGCTTCTAATAATTACTGCTCAGGTGGACTCATCACACCCTCAGCTAAGGCAGTCCCAGCTCCGGCCGCCTGGCACTCCCCTGCAGAGCCGGCCAGGCCCTCCAGTATCCACGTGTCTGTGGCAGAGGATTAGGCTTGGGAGAAAGCCTCATTAACATCTGGCCAAGGAGTTTGCCTCCAGCCGCAGCACTGGTGGAACAGAGCAGAAGAAAGGACTGTGAAATGTTGGTGGCCAGGGCAGTAACCACAGAGCAGACCTGCTTTCAAATCCAAGCCGTGTTCTCCAGGCAGATCCCTCGCCCGCTCCAGGCTAATCCCCTCCTCTGTACAAAGAGGACGATTCCCTTTTACTAGGCTTTTTTTGAACGTTCAGCTGAGATAATGCGTGTGAAGTGTCCCACAGAGAGAAGTCACTCAACATTTCTCATAGCTTAGAGACCAACAAACTGATGTGAGAGAGATTTTTCACTTTTTTCGAGGAATCATTTTGTCATAATATTGTCAGAGCCGTAAACACATGTTGAACTTTCAGTCCAGACACGAGATTACTAACCTGCTGTGGCTGAGGCACGCTTTTTGAGTTGCTGTCCCAGCAGTTGTCGTGAACTGTGGGGCTTCATCTCTGTCGTTTCACTTAATTTCCTTTGTGGCTGACGCCATCACCTGGCTGGCCTTGTGCAGGACTGGCGTGGGGTTACCTGGGGAGTGTCCACAAGTCCAAGTGACAGCACCTGTCTGCCCGTCCCAGGCGGAGTGGAACTCTAACATGGTCAGGTGTGACGACTCCAGGATTCCAGCTGGATTTGTGCTTTTCCTCTAAATCCAGTCAGTCCAGGTTGATGAGTGGATGGAAGTTTTCCTGCGAGGCTGCCGTCACCAGCAGTGAGAGTCGCTGAGCTGAACGAGGACCACTGGGCTGCTGTTTCCTGCCTGCTCTGTGTGTCTCTTCCTGTTGATAAGAATCATCCTGGATTTTGCTCTCTCCCCCACTGTGTATTACCAGTCTTTTTAGTCTGGTATTTCAACAATGCAATCTGTTCTCATTTGCATTTCTTTGATTATTAGGAGGTTTGTACATCCTTTCACAAGTATAATAACCATCTGCATTTCTTCTGTATTTACCGGTTCACACTTTTTTTTTCTTGGAATATTTGTCTTTTCTCCTGGTGGATTCCTAAGAGTGCCTTGTGTATTAAGAACAATAACAGTCTATTGTATGTTGCAAATATTTTTCCTAGCTTGTCATTTGTTTTTCAATGAATCTTTTCACTTTTTCAGTGAGTCAGAGCCATAAATCTATATTGAACTTTCAACCGAAAGATGCGATTACTCACCTGCCGTTGCTGGAGCTCACATTCTGAGTTGTTTTCTAGTCATCATCTTAGAACTGTATTGATGTGTTTAACTTTATCAGTAGTCTCTTGCCATACAAAACTTTAATTTTTATATGTAGACAATTATGTCATTCTTTCTTTGAGGCTTCTCAGTTTCATATTATGGTAAGAAAGTTCTATCTCATTCCAAGATGAGAAATATTTCTCTGCTTTTTTGATTACATTTATATGGTTTTGTTTCAACTTTTAAAAAAACTTTTTGTAGTAATGATGAGGAGTATTCATATTATTAATAATTCAGTTTTAAAATAAATACTTGCAACTACTCTTTTGGTAAGCCTCTGGATCAGACAAATTTGAAGTCCTAAGTTTGGAAGGCAAATAATTTTTAGAAATCATTGCCATTTGCAACAGTTCACTTCTGAGATTTGGAATTTCCCTTGCTATCCTGCAACCTAAACAAGATACAGAATATTATATGTTGGGGAAATTATGGGACTGCAGTTGACATCTAAGCAATGATTTTATTTTTTTATTTTATCAAGATAACCCCATTATGCTTTGACTTATTTTAAATTTAAACTTATAAATTTGTGCTAATAAAATTGCATCTATGTTTTATCTGTTGGGGTTCTACATGTGGTTTCTTTTGAAAATAGAATTCCTTTGCTAAAAATGTGGGATTTAAAAAATTTTTAAAAATCTGAGTCAGTTGGTTAGGTGATGGTTGCAGTTCTCTCCACGTCTGACCTGTGGCTCCCTCCCGCTCTCTGTGGTAGGTGGAGGCTGCCTGGCTGGAAGGGCGAATCCGGCAGGAGTTTGATAAGCTTCGCGAGTTCTTGAGAGTGGAGGAGCAGGCCATCCTCGATGCCATGGCCGAGGAGATGAGGCAGAAGCAGCTTCTGGTGGAGGAGAAGATGAAGCGGCTTGTGGAAGACACAGAGGCTCTGGCCCATGAGATTGAGCGGCTGCAGATGGAGATGAAGGAAGATGACGTTTCTTTTCTCATGGTGAGGAGCTCATCGTCTGGATCCGGGGACAGGGACCAGATGTTCAGGAACCAGCGGGGAGCCCAATACCAGCAGCCCTGGCCAACCCAGTCTTCCTGGAGCTTCTGGATACTGGGCTGGGGGAGCTTACAGACGAGGGGCTCTGCTGTGTCAAGAGGCTGAAAAGAGTTTAAGCAGAGCAGAGTTCCTGGAGGGCCTCTTTGTTTCTGTTTCTCCCTGCCTCCTTCTTCCCCCTTTTTTTTTTTTTTTTTTGAGGAAGATTAGCCCTGAGCTAACATCTGCTGCCAATCCTCCTCTTTTTGCTGAGGAAGACTGGCCCTCAGCTGACATCCGTGCCCATCTTCCTCTACTTTATATGTGGGACGCCTGTCACAGCATGGCCTGCCAAGTGGTGGCATGTCTGCACCCGGGATCCAAACCAGCGAACTCCGGGCCGCCAAAGCGGAACGTGGGCACTTAACTGCTGCGCCACCGGGCGGCCCCTCCTCTTCTTCCCGTCTCCTCCTCCTTCTCCCTCCCTCTGTTGCACTCACTCTTGCTCTCCCTTTTTTTTGTTTCTACTTTCTTTACGCCTTCTTAATATAATGGAGTAATTTTAAAATTCACTTTTTATTTTGGAATAATTTTAGATGTATGGAAAAGTTGCAGAGCTAGTACAGACTGCCCTCGTGGACCCCTCCAGCTAGTTTCTCCCATTGTTAACGCCTTACGTCGCCTTGTGGCACATCTGTCCAAACTAGAAAACTGACACTGGTGCACTGTTATTAACTAAACTCCAGGCTTATTTGGACTTCACCGTTTTCCCGTTAATGTCCTCTTTCTGCTCCAGGATTCAAGCCAGGGTCCCACATTGCATTTAGTTGTCACATCTCCCAGTCTCCTCTGGTCTGTGACAGCTTCTTATCTTTCTGTGTTTTTCATGACCTTGGCGTTCCTGATTGCCATTCCTGATCTTGGCAATATGGGTTTGTCTAATGTTTTTCACGTGATTAGACTGGGGTTATGGGATTTTGCAAAGAATACAAAATGGAATATTTTTAAATTATAAATTATACAATTATTTAAATTTTTTTATTTAAATATGATGTTTTGGTATTCTCCGTTATTTTCTTAAGAAAAGGATGACTCTATTCTCTCTTTAAAAAATATATTTAGTTTTCTTTTCTTGCTTTTATTCATTTCATCCCCACTCTCCCATCCCCCCACTCCCACTCCCTGTGAGTCACTGGGTCTTTATGGAGAAGTTTCTATAATTGGAAAGCTAGTTTGGAGACTGGTCAGGAGAATGAGGTTTCTTCTCTACTTGGAGAACAGCTGAACTCTCTGAAAGGGAAGTCTTTCTAGAGTGGAGTGGGAAGGGCCAGGGACGTCCTCCATTTGGGCCAGATGTCACATCCTGGTTGGGGACCTTTGTGGGTTCTCCACCTCATGCAAAGCTTTGAACCATGATGTCTTCTGTTGCCAAAATGTCCCGATGATGAGGTCATTTGGTGAGCTCTAAACGCTGGATTCCTTGCTCTTTCTGTTTAGGAAATCGGGTGTGTCTCTTGCCCATACCACCTGTGCTTTCAGGGATGGTTTTGTGACTCTCTTTTTTATATAAAAGCTTTATTGAGATATTATTTGCATACTGTGTAATTCACCCATTTAAAATGTATAATTCAGTGTTTTTTAGTATATTCACCGAGTTGTGCAACCATCACCAGGATCGATTTTAGAATGTTTTCGTCTCCACAAACAGAAACCCTGTACCCCTTAGCTGTCACCCTCCTGTGCCTGCATCCCCACCACCCTCAGCAACCACTAATCTACTTTCTGTCTCTATAGGTTTGCCTATTTTGGACCTTTCATATAAATAGAATTATTCAATATGTAGCTTTTTGTGACTGGCTTCTTTCACTCAGCATAATATTTTAAAACTTCATCCATGTCACATGCATCAGTACATGGCTGAATAATACCCCATTGTATGCATGTACCACATTTTATTTATCCGTTCATCAATTGCTGGACATTTGGGTTGTTTCCACTTTTTAGCTATTATGAGGAGTCCTGCTATAAACATTCATGTACAAGTTTTTGTGTGGACATATGTTTTCGTGTCTCTTGGGTAGGTGCCAGGAGTAAATTTGCTGAATCCTATGGTAACTCAAAGTCTGACCATTTGAGGAGCTCCCAGGGTGTCTTCCAAGCGCCTGCACCATTTTGCGTTCCCAACAGCAGTGTGTGAAGACTGAATCCTCCATGTCCTTGCCAACACTTATCTGTTTTTTTCATCATAGCTATTGTGATGGGTGAGAAGTAGTACCTCACTGTGATTTTAATTTGCATTTCTCTGATGGCTAATGATGTTGAGCATCTTTGCATGTACTTGTTGGCCATTTATATATCTTCTTGGGAGAAATGTACATTCAGGCCCTTTGCCCGTTTTTTGAATTGGGTTGCTTGTCTTTTTGTTGTTGAATTACATGAGATTTTATATTTTATGGATACTAGATCTTTATGAGCTATATGATTTATAAATATTCTCTTCTGTGGGTTGTCTTTTCACTTTCTTGATGACAGTCTTTGAAACACAGAACTTTTTCATTTTGGTGACATCTAGTTTGTGTTTTCTTTTGCTGCTTGTGCTTTTGGCATCATATCTCAGAAACCACAGCCTAATCCAAGGTCACGAGTTTTATAGTTTTAGCTCTACATATGTCTTTGAGCCATTTCGAGTTACTTTTTGTATATGGTGCAAGGTGAGAATCCAACTTCATTCTTTTGCATGTGGATATCCAGTTGTCCCAGCATCATTTGTTGAAGACCATTTTTTCCCCATCACATGGTCTTGGCACCCTTATAGATAACCAACTGACCATAGATGTGAGGGTTTGTTTCTAGACTTTCAGTGTCCATTGATCTATTTTAGTACATGTTAGTACCACACTGTCTTGATTACTGTTGCTTTACTAAGTTTTGAAATCGGGACCTGTGAGCCACCAACTTTGTTCTTCTTTTCTGAGATTATTTTGGCTATTCTGGATCTCTTGAATTTTCATATGAATTTTAGGATCAGCTTGTCAATGTCTGCAAAGAAGTCAGCTAGACTTTTGATCGGAGTTGCGTTGAATCTGTAGATCAATTTGGGGAATATTGCCATCTTAACAATATTCAGGCTTCTGATCTATAAATATGAAATATATGACTCATTTTGAGGTCAGAAATTTATACTTTTTTTCTGTGTTTGTGTCTCTGTGGTTTTTTTCTCTTTCAGAAACACAAGAGCCGAAAACGTCGGTAAGTTGCCACGGCTAGTGGAGGGGAGGGGAAGAGCAGGCACAGATACCAGGGGTGCAAACTCCAGTGGCTCCAGGGCCAGGCAGGTAATGAAGCCAGCCGGGTGTGACACAGGGAGTGGTGGGGACTGGCCAGGTGGACAGAGCCCTCTTTCAAGGCATTCCACTTCCCATTGCACTGGTGCAGTGTGGTTTTCCTGGGTGTGGAGCATTACCATCCACTGTGTGGGGAGTGAGTGTGCCATCCTGCACATGGCTCATATTCCTCACTGGGTCATCCTGATATTTAGGCTTGTGAAAGCCTCAAGGCACATTGGTTTGTGTTGCTGTATCTTGGGTTCAAAATGAGGCATAAGGAAGAACTGTGTCCCAGTCAGAGCTGTACAAAGATCGAAGAAAGTGCTTTGGGCAGTGGTGAGTTCCCGGTCACTGGAAGTATTCAAGCAAAGGGCAATGACACCTTCAGACTATTGGAGTAGAGGATCCTTAAGGTCCCTTCCAATTCAGACATCCCGTGAGCAGATATGTGCGTGTGATTTCTGCTCACAAGGATGGAACTGTGTCTGAGAACCTCCTATTTATGTTTATGGGGCAGGCTGAGCCCAAGTACTGAATCCTGAAGGGTTATGAGCCTCTCAGTTGACTCCTCGCTCATCTCTCATCAGAGCCCCTCCAGGTTTGTCTTGGGCAAGGTGGCCAGGGAATTTAGGCCTGAGGCAAGGGAACCAGTGCTGTGGCCTGTTTCCAGCTGACCCAGTCAGGCCCAGGATGCATGGCCTTGGCCATGCTCACCAGGCGCAATTCTCCCTTTCCAGCCTCTTCTGCACCATGGAGCCAGAGCCCGTCCAGCCGGGCATGCTCATCGATGTCTGCAAGTACCTGGACTCCCTGCAGTACCGCGTCTGGAGGAAGATGGTCATGTCTGTTGAGTCTGGTGAGTGGGAGCGTGGGCAGGTGTTACTGGGCGTGGGAGGAGCACTGGGCGTGGGAGGAGCTAGGCAGAGAGCAAGCTGCACTCACTTCTTCCAGCTTCCCACCCCATTGGACCTCCGCATCTCTCCGCTGATCCTTTCTCCAGCCTCTTCCCGACAGGTCGCTGGTGTGCTGCTCCACTCCTCGCCCCACTGCTCAGACCCCTCCCAGCAGAAGTCCTTCCCCTTTGAGTCCTGATGCTCGGCCACCTCTTCAGCAAGAGAAGCTGGCTTCCCTCTCTGTTCAGAGCCATACTGTAATGTAAGGAAAGGCCCCCTCCCAAGGTGATTCCAGTCTACGCAAGTCACTGTGTCATGCGCTGTAGACGAGAGTCTGTGCCCCCACAAATTCAGATAGTGAAGCCCTAACCTCCGATGTGGTATTTGGAGGTGGGGCCTTTGGATGATGAGGGCTAGATGAGGTCCTGAGGGTGGAGCCTTCATCATGGGATTAGTTCCCTTACAAGAAGAGACACAGGAAGCCGGCTTCCTCTCCTCTCTCCTGTGAGGACACGGCAGGGAGGCAGCCGTCTGTACACCAGGAAGAGGTTCCTCACCAGCACCTGACCACGCTGGCACCCTGACCTCAGACTGCCAGGTTCCACTTGTGAGAGACAGATTTCTGTTGTTCAAGCCACTCAGTCTGTGATATTTTTATTACAGCAGCCCAGGCGGACTGAGACACGGTGATTTTATAGGACCCAGGGGAAGGTTAGTGCTCTTCTGAGACATCTTGGGAGTTGCGTGAGCCTCCGGGGTCCCTGCCTGTATTGATTTCCTGTGGCTGCCGTAACAGAGAACTGCACACTGGATGCCTTAAAGTGACAGAAATTTATTCTCTCTCAGTTCTGGAGGCTAGAAGTCCAAAATCAAGGTGTCGGCAGGTCCATGCTCCCTCTGAAACCTCTGGGGAGCTCTTTCCTCTTCCCGGCTCTGGCGTTTGCCCTAATCCCTGTCTGCAGCACTTCGATCTCTGCCTCCTTCATCACAGGGCCTTCTCCCCTGTGTCTGTGTCTCTTCTTTTTTTTGTTAGGACAACAGTCACCTTGGATTAAGGGCTTACTCTACTCCTGTCTGATCTCATCTCGACTAATGACATCTGCAGTGACCCCATTCCCAAATAAATAAGTTCATCTTTGGAGGTACTAGGGGTTAGGACTTCAACATACTGTTCTAGGCAGGGCACAGTTCAACCCCTAGCACCACCCCTCAGCCCAGCGCAATTCCCACCATGCACGAGAGCCAGGTGGGACACAGTTGGTCAGTCTGGGGGGACGTCAGCTGGCATGGCAGAGGGTGGGGTGTGGGGTTTCCTGATTTGCCCCCCTTTCCCCCTCTGCTCTCAGTGCCCTTCAGCTTCGATCCCAACACGGCTGCTGGCTGGCTCTCAGTGTCCGATGACCTCACCAGCGTCACCAACCACGGCTACCGAGTCCAGGTGGAAAACCCGGAGCGCTTCTCCTCGGCACCGTGCCTGCTGGGCTCCCGCGCCTTCTCCCAGGGCTCCCACGCCTGGGAGGTGGACCTGGGGGGGCTGCCGAGCTGGCGGGTGGGTGTGGTGCGGACGCGCCAGGACGTGGGCGCCGAAGGCCACTCGCATGGCTGCTACCACGACACGCGCTCGGGCTTCTGGTACATGTGCCGCACGCAGGGGGTCGAGGGGGACCACTGCGTGACCTCAGATCCGGCCACATCGCCCCTGGTCCCGACCATCCCGCGCCGCCTGCGCGTGGAGCTGGAGTGCGAGGAGGGCGAGCTGTCCTTCTATGACGCAGAGCGCCACTGCCACCTCTACACCTTCCATGCCCGCTTCGGGGAGGTACGGCCCTACTTCTACCTGGGGGGCACGCGGGGCGATGGCCCCCCTGAGCCTCTGCGCATCTGCCCGCTGCGCATCACCGTCAAGGAGGAGCTGGACGGCTGAGGCTGGCCGCCAGTCGCTGGTGGCTGCCTGGTCTTGTGCGATGGCACGCTTTTTTTTCTGTCCCTCTTGCTAAAGCCACACTCGCCTTGGTACCTGTGTCCTGCCTGCCTTCCTGCCAGGGTCTTCCTCCGACCTAATGTGTCCTCTCCATGGCACTAGGCCCCAGGCTGCCTCCTTCATTTTTGTCCCATCTCTCCCGACAGCCGAAGGTCATCCAGGAGACACTGCACTGGCCAGGCTCTCCCCAGAGTTGTGGCACCTTCGGGATGTGAATTTTCTGAATCTTAATTCCAAGATTTCTAAGGATAATATTTGCTTCTGGTGTGGGCCTGTTGTAAAATGTAGGTTTTATTGTTATCCAGGTGTGTTGAGGCCAACAGACAGGAGCCAACTGCCATTGAAAAGATAGTGTGTTACTTAGGATTCCCAAGAGGAGGGGCTGCACCATGGGAGACCACACGGGGAAGTGCTAGGGGCCATCAGGAGGCAGAGGAAGGGAGGGGAAAGCTGGGCCGCAGACTTTGTTGTGGTTTTCCCAGGAAGGAGCAGGCGAGGCAGGGTGCAGGGTACACAGGTTTAGGGTCAGCAAGTTTAAATAATTTTGGTGGTCTCTGGGGCATAGGGGCTGGCCCTAGTTGTCTGATGCCCGGCCCTGGGATGAGTAGGATGGGGATGTTGGCCTGGAGTGTGCAAGCCCTGTGAGAGCCGATGAAGGAGGCTAGGGGGTGTGAGGGATTGGTTGGTTTGATTTGAAAGGCGCGCTCACAGAGGACTCATTTGCTGGCTCCAGGAGTTAGCTAGCCCTGGGAGGGGTAGTTTCCTCTTGGTCAATGGGGCCACAGATGCCAGAGCATCACGAATATAGAAAATAGGAAAATAGAGTTAATATAGGGCCGCTGCTGTGGCTTCGGGGCAGGACCCAGGGCCAAGCTTGTCTCTCACCTTGCACCAGTATTTTAAAACTCCACAGAGGCTCCTGGGGGCCCCACAGGGCGGAGGCAGGCTGTCCTTCCACTCGGCTCTGATTTATCTATTTATGCTTCTTAAACGATTTCACTTAAAAACACAATTTTAAAAACCATGGTTTAGACCTGTTCCCTCTCTGGGTCTCAGTTTCCTCGTTTGTATATGAGATAGTAGGGCTGGAAAATGATATCCGTCTAATTGCTGTGGAGAAAATTCCTGATCCACTCTTATAAAGGCATGAGAAGGGAAGGAAAGAGGGGCCCTTTTCCAGTTGTGGGGGAAGGAAGGGAACACAGTCTGGGGTCCAGGGGTGGTGCCAGGAGAAGATGCTCGTGCTCTCGGCCTTCCCTCCCCTCTTGTCTTTGCCGACCTGCGCCTGCTCAAGCCTGCTCATTCTCGCTCTGCTGCCTTTTGCGTTTTCATCCTGATTTCTCCCTCCACCGTGCCTCCAGACTTGTCCTCCACCTTTTCTTCTCTGCACATGCTACAGATAGTTTTCAACTGTCCACTTGTCATGTCCTGGGAACAGTGTGGTGAAAGGAACTGTGTTCCTGTAGGAGCAGTGTTCTAATCAGGGACACATTCCTGACCAAGGACTCACATCCTTTCTCCTGCCTGTGCCCCCTGTTCACAGAAATGGACATTTTAAACAGAAATGATGAATCAGGGCTATAAATTAGTTATAAATGTCATGTGTACATTGCTGGGGCCGTGGGGAAGTGCTCATACTCAAAAAAGCTTCAGGCACTTTGGAGCCAAACACACCTCTGGCCAGTGTGCACTCTCTGTGATAAAGTATTTATCTAACCATCCAATATAATTTCTATATGCATAATCTTGACCTGAAATTATTTTGTTAGTTATAATAAACTTTTAAAAATGTTTTTTATTTCCACCTTAGATGTTGGAGGAGTTTTTCTTACAGGATAATTTGGATAGCCTAGGCCACTTTTGACAAAAATAAAAATGATATTTGAGCTAAAGCCCACTCTTTCTTTTGACAGTTTCCTTTCGGTGTTCTCATAGGCAAAATTTCATCCATGTTGTAGCGGGTATTCGACTTTATTCCTTTTTGTTATCCAATAATATTCTGATGTATGGATATACTATATTGTATTCATCCATTCTTCATTTGGTGAACTTTTAGGTTGTTTCTACTTTCAGGCCATCATGAATAATGCTGCTGTGAAGGTGTGTGTACAAGTTTTTGTGTGGCCATGTTTTCCATTCTTTTGGGTATATACATACCTAGGAGTCGGTTTGTAGATCATACGCTAACTCTGTTTAACCTTTAGGAACTGCCAGGCTGTGTCCAGTGTGGCTGCACCATTTTATGTGTTTAGCAGCAGTGCATGAGGATTCCAGTTGCTCCATATCCTCAGCAGCACTTGTTATTGTCTGTCCTTTAACTTAGCCATCCTGGTGGTGAGGTGATACCTCACTGTGGTTTTGATTTGCATTTTCCTGATATCTAATGATACCAAGTATCTTTTCACGTGCTTGTTCGCCGTTTGTGTATCTTCTTAGGAGATACGTCTTCAGATTGTTTGCCCATTTTTTATTGGGTTGTTTGTCTTTTTATTATTGAGTTGTAAGAGTTCTTTATACATTCTAAATATAAGTCCTGTATCGGATAGATAATTTACAAAATCTCTCTCCTATTCTGTGGGTTGTCTTTTCACTTTCTTGAAGATGTCCTTTGAAACACAAAAGTTTTTTTTTCTTTTGTTTTTTAAGATTGGCACCTGAGCTAACAACTGTTGCCAGTCTTTTTTTTTCCCTTCTGCTTTTTCTCCCCAAATCCTCCTGGTACATGGTTGTATATATTTTAGTTATGCGCCCTTCTAGTTGTGGCACGTGGGGCGCCGCCTCAACATGGCCTGATGAGCGGTGCCATGTTCGCGCCCAGGATCCGAACCAGCGAAACCCTGGGCTACCGAAGCAGAGCACGCGAACTTAACCACTTGGCCATGGGGCCGGCCCCAAACACAAAACTTTTTAATTTTGATGAAGTCCAGTTTATTTCTTTTCTCTTTTGTTGCCTGCGTGTCCTAGAACTCTTCCCTTTGACACTGCCCTTACGCCCATGTATTCCAGTTTCCCGGTTCTGGCCCGGGCACGAGGCAGCAGTCCTGTTGACAGGGAGCCCTGGTCCAAGGGGCCGTTCTTTCCTCCCTGGAGCCTTCCCCTCCCCTTGCCTTCGCCCGGGCTTACTCCCGTTTCGCTCTGCTGCTCGTCAGTACACGCGGGCCGGAGGCAGCAGCCCTCTGGGCAGCCTCCCCTCCTCAGTCCTCTCCCATCTTCAGTCCATCCTACAGCTGCTGCCAGTGGCACCTTCCTTCAGTCTTCCCCTCTCCCCCGAGTCACCCCACCCCCACCTGCCCAAGAACGTTCTCCAGGGCAGAGTTCGGAGCTCGTCGTTAGCCAGCTCTGCCTCTGTGCCCCGAGTTCCCTGACCTCCAGCACACAGTTTCCGCAGCCCAGGCTCTCAGTCCCCTTCCGCCCGGCCGCCTGGCTTCACACGGCCGGCTGTTTCCAGGGGAAAGTCCTGGCTGGTTACTCTGTCTGTTCTGGTTATATGGGCCCTACCACTCACGTGCTGCGGCTCCTTAGACACGCTCTTTACTCTCCCGAGCTCATGTCCTCCACCCTAACGCTGGGGCTAATCCTCACCTCTGAAGGTCCGGTACAGCGTGGGCACAGTGCCTGTCCCTCGGGGCGCGCTTCACGATGGCAGCTGTTGGGAGCGAGCACCAAAGGAGATGATGTGAGGTTCCCTCGTTGACCTGCCTGGCTCCCCGTCACTTCCACGTCGGCCACCAGTTATTTTTTGGTCAGAATTAAGTGCACAATGGCCATCTCCTTCACTGCTTCCTCCTGCTTGTGGAGGATGAAATTTCTCTCAACAGAGTTTGATCACCTGTTGATCAGAATAGCGGAAGTCCATCATGAACCCCATGGTTAGCAGAGTGGCAGTGCCAGGATTCTTGGCACAGAGTGACCGTGCCATCCTGGAATTTCCCCAGCTCCTTAGAGTGACATTCAAGTGCCCCCAAGGTGTCTCCTACCCACCTCTGCCACCGCTCTGCACACAGACCCCACCCGGCCTTCCTGAGTCCCAGGTGCTTGCCCACCTCTGGGAGCTGCCTCTCGTTGCTTCTCCCGCCAGCAGTGCCTGGTGCTCTGCCTTATGTCTGCCTTTTGGCCCAGCGGTGCCTTCCAAGACCTGCCCAGGTCTCCCGAGGCCACCGCTGTACATCTGATCTGCTAGACGGCGCTTGGAGTGCAGCTGCCTGCGCTGCCATCTCTGCGCGGAGACTCTGGAGAGCGGGACCCGCCTCACCTTCACCCCTCTGCTCCTAGGCCAGGTGCGTTGCCAAGATGTAACAAACGGTTACCAAATGTGAGCGCTGGATTCAGGGGCCCTGTCCCCCAAAGTTCCAGGAGGCTGGCAGCACCTGTGCTAAGGAGGAGGCGGCCCGGAACCCGAGGTCCAGGCTTCTGCTTCTGGCGGCCTCCGTATGATCTGTGAGCTCCCTGAGCCTTTCGAGCCTCTGCGTCCTCATCTCAAATGAGGATCCTGATTCTACCTCAGGCTGTGGTGGGGATTAAGTGAGGTGATCTTTTGGTACAAATGCCATGTATTATATCCTAAACATGTATAGACAATACATGTTGGCTAATTCTCAAGGAAGTGGGAGATTCTGAATGTTAACATTATGATTACATTAATGAAGAATCCCGAAGGAAATTGAGAAATACAAGTTGTCTACGTAGGAGTGCTCACATTTCTTGAGATTTTAAACAAGGATATATACATAAAACTTGTTTATGAAAAATTTCAATAACATGGGAAAATTATTATGTTGCAACAACCGAGAAAAATAGGATTCAGAGTTATGCCCACAGACATGCAACACACACACAGACGAGCAGGGTCTTGTCTCCAAGCTGCTTGTATTGTCTGATTAGGTAATCCATTTACATGCTCTGAATCCCAAAGGTGCGGGAGCAGTCTCTCCTACTTCTGCCCAAACACTCAGCCCCCTCCTTGTGGGCCATCGTGTTGCCATAACAGAATCCTCCCAGAGATACTGCATGCACAGCAGTATCCGGTTTATGAGTGTACTCTGGTTCCTCCAGTACACTGCAATTTAGGAGCAGATACTCTAGGTCTGTATTCCTAAGCAACCCAACAAGAGGAGAAAACTGAAAATAAAGGATGCTGTTAAAATAATTTCCTCCCCTCCAGGGGAGGTTTGTCACGGATGTCCTCATGCAGTCAGTTTAACTGGTGGATTTAGCTTTTTGTTCTCTTTTAAATATTTCACCCTAGGATTTTAAGAGGGAAAACACTAGTGGAATTTAGTTGCTCCTGACATTAGAAGATAAACCTGAGACCTCAACATGTGTTTTTTTTTTTTTAAGATTGGCACCTGAGCTAACAACTGTTGCCAATCTTTTTTTTTTTTTCTGCTTTTTCTCCCCCAACCCCCCTAGTACATAGTTGTATATTATAGTCGTGGTTCCTTCTAGTTGTGGCATGTGGGACGCCACCTCAGCGTGGCCTGATGAGTGGTGTCATGTCCACGCCCAGGATCCAAACTGGCAAAACCCTTGGCCTCCAAAGCAGAGTGCGCGAACTTAACCACTTGGCCATGGGGCTGGCCCCTCAACATGTGTTTTTAAAATCTCAGTCCTCACAAAGGTATCCAGTGACCTAAATAGTCATGAAGAGGTTGGGATGTGAGATTGGATAACCTGGGTTCAAACTCTGACTCAACTTAACCTCTCAGTTCCTTAGTTTCATCATGTGAAAACTGGAGGTAACCAGACACCTTAGGATAAATGGAGATAATAACCTACCTCATAACATGGTTATGAGATTAAATGAGCAAATGTGTAAAACACTTAGAATAGGGTCTGGCACATACTTAGCAGTTGAGAGCTGCTGATGCTTTACGTGGCTCTGCTGCTAAATAGCTGTGAGACTTTAGATAAAGCCATTCCACTTCTGTGAACGGAAACCAGGACACCTGCATAGTTTTTTCAAAGTTTTTCCCAATTCTGACATCCAGTGATCACAGTTTGTGTCACCAGCAAAAGCAGAGAGTCTTGCACACAGTAGGGACTGCTGATTCAGGATGCTGCTGTTGACCAATGACCAAGAGCCTGGGTGTGGTACTAGGAGCTTTGCCTCGTGTTAAGAGTCTGGAGAAAAAGAAGATTGAAGAGTCATAATGTTTGAAGTTTAGAAAAGGTTATTTCAGAGAGGAGCAGATCTTGAAAAATTGTTCCTAGAATTAGTAATCAATCATACACAATAAAATTGTATTATCATGTTCCAGAGATGGCTTGTGTACTTTTATGTTCAACATTAAAGATGGTGTCAGATATTGACTCATGTCCACCGTGAATATGATCTTAGCGACAGCAGAGCTATTTGAATTGGGCAAAAGATGACTGACTGTTTGTGGTGGGGATTGTCGCATCTCCCTTCAAGGTTTCAAAAAGAAAATGCAGCTTCTTACAGTGGCCTGTGACACCCATCCCTTTCCCTAGCCATGGAGGACCGAGCAAGATGGATTCAGTCACTCTGAAAGCCTGATGCCCCCGGGCAGAGGGAAGCCCGCCTGCTCTGGGTGCTGTCTGTCCTTGTTTGTGGGTGTAACTTGGGTGGGTTTCTTTTGCCAGGGAACAGGCTGGGGAAGATGGGAGATTTTGGTTTCTATGGATACTGGGCTAGCTGGGATTTGCATAATGTATTTCAGAGACAGACAGTCTGGGAACAATGTGGACCGAGAAGGAGTATAAAGGCCCATGGAAACGAGTTGGGGGGTCTGCTTGTCAGACTGGGGACTGGGGTCTGGGACCCTCCCCCACTCTCTGGAGAGGGCAACATGGAGCCCTGAGCATCGAGGAAGGTGGTGTGTGAGCAGCGCCCCCACAGGGCACAGCGCGTACTTGGGCTCAGCAAATTTTC